ATGATTTTTTGGAAGAAAAGGGAACCGATGAATTAAATTTTAAACGGACATATCGTTGTTATCCTGCATCTTCTGTTTATAAGGTTTCTACTTTAGTCTTCATTTTCTCACTTTTGTTTTTCTTAACATGCAGTTGGTCGTATGCAAGTTTGTCTTTGACTAGATATATATGCCAATTGTATAGTTTTTTCATCCGGCCACCATGGTCTAATTCCATGTATACTTTTTATGTTTGAAATAACTATTTGTAAAAATTCCACCTTGGTTCCAGTAGCAAAAACATATGAATATGGTTTTATGTTTATAATACTTTCGTCAGCATAGCAACAAATCCCTAATTAAGAATTGTTGGAAACGAGCATCGACATCAATTCGTTGTCGACCAAGCCATCGTTATAAGACAAATCCAATTTTTTTAGCAGTTTAAAATGCTGCCCCCAAAGAAGTTTGTACCCCCAATTCTCTCTCCAAGACATCACAGTTTACAAGCACCAAATCCTCAAGCCTAGAACTTAAGGCTGGACCAACTGTAAAGGCGAAGAATTCTCAATTCTCTGCAATTTTGTGCAATCACAGATAAGCCCGCATCATCGAGATCAAGAGGAAGCCTCAAGTCAAGAATTTGCAGAGTTTTACATTGCCTAATGACGTGAAAAAGGCCTTGAGATCTTCCCCATCATATAAAACCAGAGAAATCAATGACCCACAATTCTCTGCAACATGATGCAGCACTCTACCTGCTATAGTTCTACAAGTTCTCAGCTCAATTTCTCGAAGACCAGGTAAACAGTTAATGAAAGAAGAGGAAGCAGTATCTCCAGTTCCTGCACAGCTACAAAGCTGTAATTTTTGCAATTTCCTGCAACTTCTCCACAACCACCCAAGACCCAAATCTGCAGGCCCGATTCCAGTCAAGCAGAGCTTCTCCAATGGCAGGTTCGCCTCCGCAAATTGATCGCCATGATCGAAGCCTGACCCAATTTGAAACCCAACTCCTTTGCAATCGACATAAGTGACTGAAAGCTCCCTCAATGAACCAAACCCAAAAAGCTAACGAAAACACAGAGGCCCAAAACCCAAAATCTTGAGAGAAGCGAGTGAAACACAGCCCGTGGCAAGAACCTCGAGGCTCGAAGGAGAAACAGGGCTAGCCAAGAAGCGGAGTTCCTTAAGGTAGGCACAATTATTGGCGACGCCACAATCAGAAGCAATGGAGCTACAGGTCGATAGATCTTCAGGGACAATTCTCAGAGTGGTGAGGTACGGGGAGTGAGAGAGAAGGGAAGAGAGCGAAAGTGAGGGATCAGGTAATCTTAAGCCAAGAGTGGTCTTGTTTCTTCGATGAATGCTGAGCCAGCGTTTACAAACCTGGCCGACGCTGTTGAGCTCAGAGAAGCTTTGCAAGCGACCGAGGATTTCTTCCAGGAGTTCGTCGCAGAGACCATTTTCAGAATCCATTGATAAAAAACTTGGTTCTGATAACGGTTGAATGGGTTGAAATGGATTGCAGAAAGTCCATAGATGAAGTGGGGAAGGAGAGAGAGAGAGAGAGAGAGAGTGAGACAAACTCTACCCATCAAATGGAAATCTTAGACAGAGAAAGAGAGCTGCTGGGGTGGCGAATGACACCACCGACTTTCCTTTCTTTCCATTAACCGCCATTAAAAAGGAGAGAAGAGAGAGAGGAATGCCAATTGCCGGTAGGTGGCGTGAAGTCGAGTGAGACAGAGCGGCGCCACCTTCCGTTTGTCTATTGATTTTTCATTTGGGATGAGATTTCTCCGAGGCCTAGGTTTATGAAAACAATATAAAGCGCCAACCAAAATCCTCGTTCAGGAAGTACTTTTGGTGACCAAAATAATTGTGATGCTCTAAAATCAATTTTTAACACTGCCAATAAAATTTGAAGTTTAAAAATTGGTACAGATGATGCGGATCTATAAATATTTATTTTTAAGGCAAAAAAGATTCTAGATAATTTGTTATAAGATTTGTTAGGGTGTTAACATTATGGAGCAATATTTAGAACGCTATTAAGCAAATTATGACTTAAAAACCAACTCAACAAAATAGGTGCAATAAAATTGTAGTCAGCATTTTCATCCACTAAAAAAAAAATCTTTTTGGGCATTAAAAAATTCGTTTTTGAGGGCACGGGGTTTTCTTCTCACGCTTAATTTTGACTCCTGCCGGATTTGGTTTCAGCTAGTGGTTTAAAAAACGGATCGGTGTCCCGGATCAGGCACTTCAAAAACTCATCCGGATCGGTAAATTGGCGATCCAGATCGATGAATTGGCAATCCAAATCAGGAATCGACCGACTCGGTCGGATTAAGCTCTAAAAAAATCCAAAACAATTATTAAAATTAATTGTAAATGTTGTATTTTATGAATCTAATAAGAAATGAGGGTATTTCATTGTTAACTTTCACTTTTTTCATCAATTTGTTAATATTGATATGTTTTTTCTCTGAATAAACTTATGTTAACCATTAAATTTACGTCACACATAAGAAAAATCATATTATTCTCATGGATAAAATATATAATCATATATGGGCTACTATAAAGAGTAAATTTAATCGATAAAAAATGGCCATGCGAATCTCAAATTGACGGAAAGCCCTAATCCCCTAAAAAACCCCAAATTATTATAAACTAACTCACTATAATCCAAATTTATTACAACCTAACTAACTATAATGTTATATAGTAAAATTAAAATTTTTGGTTTAAATTTTATAATTATTTTGTTATACAAATAACAAATCCAAAATATTTTATAATACGATCTAATTTAAAATGTATTATTGAGAACTATAAGAAAGATAATAAATTACATGATTTATAATGCAAAAATTAATAAATAAAATAAAAAAATTGGTTGAAAATTATTAGAATGCATACCAATTTTCGAAAGAACACTTTAATTTTTCAAAATTTTAATTTTTTAGATTTCTAGAATAAATTTAATAAAATAGAATGTTAATAGAAAGAGAGATTTCAAATGGAATAAATTTCTTTTAAAAAAATTACTTTTTTAGATTTATAGAATAAATTTTGTAAAAAAGATTGTTAATAGAAAGAGGGAGATTTCAAAAAAAAAGAAATTTAAAAAAAAAAATATTTTTTGCTTATTTTAGTTGTCAATAAAAATAAAATAAAATGTGTCCAAGGCAGAATCAAACTTGAGAAGCGAAAGCTTTACCGTGAAAGTGATAACCACTCCACCACATCAACACAAGTGTAATTATTTTCTATATTAATAGTACTTATCTAAATTCCGTCATATTTTAATGTACCGTGGGAATTATTCTACATCCAACAGCGAGTTTTAGTTTTGCATCTATAAATTGCTTTGTAAGTTTTCAAACTGTTGTACGCGTGTGCCCGAAGTTGTCATCCACACGTGGCCGATGGGAAACTGTAGTCCCAATTGTTGTTTTGGCACGTGCTAACTCGCTATTGAACATCATACACTCACTATGTGACATCATATGAGCAATGCACGGGGTAACCAATTCCTGTTGTATGACATCATACGCTTGTTATGTGACATCATACGGGCGATACACTAGGTAACTGACTCCCGTGCCGAGTCAGACGAGTCCAGTGCGATTCGCCGATTTTTAAATCACTGCTTTCAGCTATAAGGAAAACAAGTGTTCAAATATCGTAAATAAATAGGGGTTTTTTTGGGACTTTCCGGCTAATAGAAATTCTAATTTTCTTGTCATAAATAATGCAAATGTCGTTATTTTTCGTCGGTACTTGTAGAAACCATCTAGTTTTTTTATAGAATCGGCCAGTTTTATCAATGTACTGCTGAAGAACTGGCTGTGTGGAGGGGGGCGGGTTGGGCGGGCCGGGAGGGAGCGGTCCCTGAATTTTGCTTGTGGGAACTGGCTCATCCCTGACGATTTCTTGTTCTGGATATGCATATTTTGCTCGTGGCAACTGGTTCGTCGCTGACGATTGTGGATCTGGATATGCCGTTTGTTTGCACGCGTGTGATGTGGACGGAGAGGACAATACTAAGAACAAAGTAACCACTGTACAAGTATTTATTGAGGTTGCGATCATATGTATGACTCGTGTATTTCTAAAGTTGTCTTTGGGATTCGCCCAACGAAAACAATTTATATAAGGTTGACCTTATAAAATGTAGAATCAATGCGCACCTTAATAATCCATCAAAAACATCGAATTGATTGTCTCGATCAGTAGAAAAAATCGAATCAAAGCTGTTAACCAGACATAAGGTTAGAAGCAGTTAAAGATAAAAATACATTTTCGGGTCACCCAAAGAATTTTCGACCCAAAAATTACATCGTATGACAATTTGAAAGTGCACCTCATTTTGATTGTTTAAAGTTGCAACTTTAAATATGCTTACGTGTGTATATAGGAAAGTATAAAAAAATAAAAAAATAAAAAAATAAAAAATAAAAAGAACAAACCTGTGAGCTAGTTTCATTATTGTCCTAATTCATTATCGTCCTAACTCCACTGGACTTGTCTCCAAGCTACTACCGACCAGGTGACCAACCATTCCTTCAATGGACCTTTCTTCTTCGCTTCTCTTCTCCTTGAAAATATTGTACAACTATCTAACCTAACCTCCCTCTTTCACTGCTTTTAGGCGGGGAAAACTTGGAATGGCTGGCTTTAGTGTCAACTAGGAATGTGCACGCCATTCCAGTGATTGAAAGATTCATACTCCCATGCATTCCATTGATAAACGAAGAACCAACCAAAGCCATATTCATTCAAAAATTTTGAATTTTTATTTATTTATTGTTTTTACAAATTAAATTCATTTGAAATTTTGAGGTAAATTTTAGCGATATCTTGGCTTTAAATTTTTAAATTTTCTTTTTTGTTTTATTCTCTTATCCCTCTTTTCTACAAGTTGTATCTGAGCCTTGAGATCCATACAGGATGATGATATCAAAAACATCTACTAATCTATTATGGGAGTACATGGTTAAAATATTTGAGAGTCCAAAATGCCTTGAAGAGAGCCATGGCAAATTAATATTTTTTTGGATACTATACAAAGAACCCTTGTCAACTTTCGTACAGATTGAGTTTCCAAGTATCAAGAATGTGAGGTTCTCCTTAGTCAACTTGGTACATACAGATTGAGTTTCTAAGTATCTGAACCTTCTTTGTCCATGGGCCTTCTCATCACATTCTCCATCACGAGAGGCTTCCCTAATGCCAATGTGGGGTCATGATATTCACTACACTCCCCCTCAAGCTGAAGCATAAATATCATAGATGCCTAGCTTGCCAAATTGTCTTTTAATCGAACTAGATTAGCAGCCTTGGTCAGGATATCTGCCAATTGATTATCAGAGCGCAAAGATGAAGTGCATTCTACTTTTGGAGTGACTTTTTTCTCTTACCAAGTGTCAGCGACCTCAACATCTTGGTTCTTTTATGGTATACAGGGTTTAAAGCAGTATAATTACCATTTGATTATCACAATCTAAAGGAATAGGAGTTGACACATAAACACCCATCTTTTGAAGAAGAGAATGAAACCAAAATAAATTATATGTAGCACTAGCCATTGCTCAATACTCGACTTCTACTGACGATCAGACTACAAGATTTTGTTGCTTACTCTTCCATGAAACTAAATAACCACCCACTGTCATAAGGTAGCCAATGTAGATCATCAATGAAGAGAACACCAGGGCCAACATAATCTGCATCACAAAAGATATTTTATATCAAGGTATAAAGTAGTCCATCTCCTAAAGCTGCTTTTAAACATCGTAAAATGGTATAAACGGCCTTCAAGTAATGGCAGCATGGTGTGTGCGTAAACTGACTTGCCAGCTTATGCACACGTTGTGTATGGTGTATGATAGTCATATAGACAAGTCTACCAACCAATCTCTGATATACACCCAAATTACATTGACGCTCTAAATGGTGATCATACAATTTGTGATTAACCTCTATGGGAGATTTGCTGGTTGGCTCTGAGCATTCCTGTGTCATTGAGGAGATGACGACTATACTTCCATTGATACAAAGATTCCCAATTTAGACCTTGCCACCTCTATTCCAAAGAAGTATTTCAATGGACCAAGATCCTTGATGTCATTTGTGATTATTATTTCCTGTAAGCACAATATCATCCATGTACATTGTTAGTATTGTCATAGACCAAGAATTTCATTTAATAAATACCAAGTGATCAAAAATGCTTCTGGCATATTGCCATGCTGAATTTTCAAACCAAGCCTGAGGTAACTATTTCAGTCCAGTAATAGTGTTTCTCAACTTGCAGACCTTCCTTTTTTCCACCCAAGTATAAACCTAGGTGGATATACTATATACAAGTCTTGCAGATCTCCATGGAGAAAGGCATTCTTCATGCAATAGAGTGCTCATTTTTTGTTAGCTGCAATAGACAAAAGTACTCGTACTCAATGTTCAAAAAGCAAAGGCCACATTTTTTGTTAGCTGCAATAGACAAAAGTACTCGTACTCAATGTTCAAAAAGCAAAGGCCACATTTTTTGTTAGCTGCAATAGACAAAAGTACTCGTACTCAATGTTCAAAAAGCAAAGGCGGTCGCCTAGGTGGGGGCCCAAATTCTGGGGAGGCATGCATAATGTTGGGGCTCCAAACCCTTGCGGACTGTTGGAACCCCTGCTTTTGTGTATAGATTATCATTTTTTTTTTGGTTTAATAAACATGATTAATTGTATAGTTTTTTTTAATATAATTTTTTTGTACTAAACTACGTATCAAACTTAAGATACATGACTTTGAACTGTGAACAAAATAGCTAAAAGTAACATTAAAAGAATGAAAATCACTGACCTCTACTTGCAAATGTTAATTTTCCATTATGCTTTTCCCAAAACTTGTGATATCCATTACATGTCACAACAGACAACTAACAAAAAAAAGTCACTACTCACAAAGGGCATAAACTCCAGACTATGAGATGGAGGTCCCCCAAGACAGTGATGAGGATGTTAATGTACTGACACTCAAAGGATTTGGGAGGAGTCAAAGCGATAGGGATGAATGTTTTGAATTCCGAGAAGAAATTGCGAAGAGCATGTGAGAAAAATATAGGCACCATGGTGCCTAGATTATGTACTTTTCCCTTGATTGTATGAAATGTTATGCTGAACTATGCCTAAAGGCACATACTTGGTTTGTGTATGCATCTTTATTGTCATGGATACTGGTGAAGTGTAAGTTGAAGATTGTGTATTGAAATGGGTTTTAATATATATGGGACTGTGTATGAAGGTTGTGACTGCTCGTTTTGGTAGTATGTATATATTTTGATGCTGCTAGCTCTTATTGTACTAGGTATGGATAATGATGTGGTGGAGACACAATCGGCATCTTCGAAGGCCAAAAGATTGATATGGTTGAAGAAAATCGAGAGAGCATTATTGGATATCCTATCCGAAAAGATTTTGGAGACCAATAAAACTAGCAAAGATTTTAAACCCGTACACTGGGCCACTGTCGAGCAGGAGTTCTTAAAGACAACTGGTATGGACATTAAAAAGGACCAATTCAATAATAAATTGAAGACCTGGAAGGCTCATTACTTGATAGTTAGGGAAATCAAAGCGGTTTTGGGTGGGATAGTATTAGGCACCATGCGCTTGTTGATGATGACGTATGGGATACCTATGTTGAGGTCAGTAATATTGTATTAACATTTTTGTTGTTTTTTATCTTGCCCAAAAAACATGTACTAATATCTCACACCTTATCAATACATAATCATCCAGACGATAAGGGGTGGATGATGAATAAACGACCACGCAATCCACTCACAGCTCAGGTCGGCAAGGCCATAGACAAGATCCGGGGGCTCACACCCACAACTAGAATGACTGCAACTAAGGAAATTGTCACAAATGTGGATGTGACGATGTTATTCTAAAATATAAGTGAAGAGGAGCATAATATGTTCTTGATGTGTATGGTGTGCATGGTTGATCACCATCTCCATAGATAGACTAATGCTCTTTAATTCCTCCATTATTGTGTCCTCAATACCTCTCTAATGATGGGTTAATAACTTCTACTTTTGGTTGAAATGCCCAATGTTGGATGGGTATAGTGTAAATATTTTTAAGTTGCATTTGGTGATGGGGAATTACATATGTTTTTGTTCATGGGTTATTAACTTGTAGTTTTGGTTGATCATTGCAGTTTTTTACGGTTAATCTTTTTTGTTCGATATCACTATGAGTGTTATTAATGAGGAATGCTCTTTTGTTTTGATTGGATATAACCATGATGGCTTTTCTTGGACAGTTTGATGGTATAGAACTAAGTGGTTTACTATTGAAAAGTGCATTATGTATGGGTATGAAACTTTATTACAATAATGATCCTACAATTAGTTTTGGCAACTAATTAGTTTACTTATGAAGTGATCATCAGTGTATATATGTTTTTGATGGCTTTAATGTTCCCCATGTGTATACATTGCTCAATATTGCAGAAAATGCCAAGAGTATATGTTGTGTATGTTGGCCACAACCTTGGGGTGTATGTGATATGTGCAGAATGCTCCAGGCAAGTGCTAGGCTACCCAAAAGTTGTGCATTGCTCCTACCCCACTATAGAGGAGCGGGGTGGCACGATTTTGAGATTATCAAAGTCGCCAAGGGCATGTAGTTTTTTTTTTTTAATAACTATTAACTTTTTTATTGATCGAAAAGATAGATACAAAATGGTAAAAGTAAATCCAAGAGTACCTTTACTACACGGGACTCCTAGTAAAAAAAATAGGTCAACTGACCCTATACAAAATGGGGTTATAAGATTATCCCCTTACACAGTATTCAGGAAATTTACAAAGAAAGTAAAGAGAGTAGATCACAAAAAAATCCCAGACCAAGAGAGAGGTTCTTGTAGTGTGCGTGCTCTGTAACCGACCCAAACCCAACTGTGGTAGAGCCTATTCTTCAACATGGACCTTAGCTCCATCCTTGGCGAGCAGGTCCGCGAGCCCGTTTGACGTCCGCGAGATATGCTTCCATAAGACGGGTGTATCCTTGCAAAGATGCTGAATCTCATCATAAATAGACACAAGATACCAGGGGGGAGTAGCTATCCAGGAAGCCTAAGAAATAATGTTTCTAGAGTCGCCCTCCACTAATAGAAACTGCCCCCAAGAGCGATCATAATTCTGTATGCCTCTGAGTAGGGCCATTGATTCAGCGAACTGTGAATCTTGGAAGCCGAGATATTCAAAGTATGTAAAAAGTATGTTCTGATGGTGATCTCTAAAAACCCCTCCCGCACTTGCATGGCCTGGGTTTCCCAAAGAGCAACCATCAGAGTTTAATTTGATTGCTCCTTGGGGGGGAGGTTCCCAGGCCCTTATGACTTTCTTTTCCTTCGGTTTGTGGAGGAGAATATGCTCCCACTGCGGTAAGGAGTCTGTTGGGATACTGTTGAAAAATGATGGTTTGACGCCCAGAAGGTTACTAAGGATGTAACCTTATGGACAAGAGAAGGGGCTAGACCGGTTTGTCCCCGAAAGATTCTGCCATTTCTTTCTTTGCCAAATGGTCCAAATTGTTCGTGCCACTATGGCTTTCCATAGGATTCTGGCCGCCTTCGGCCAGTGCGAGGCTAAGTTCAAAACGAAAAGGTCTTTGACCATTGGAGGTATTACCTAGAGAACCCCAAAAAATTGCAACAGTAGGCTCCATAGTTCTTGGGCCACGTTACAATGGAGAAAGAGGTGGTTATTGGATTCCTCTTGACTCAAGCACATGATGCACCTATTGGGAATTGGAATTACTTTCTTTTGTAGGTAATCCATAGTGAGGGCCTAGTTAGAACCTGCAATCTAGTTGAAGGTTTGCACCTTTGGAGGTGCAATAGTGTGTCATACCTGTGATAGAATCAAGGTTGGGTTGAGGGGGAAAGTAGGAGGTTGGATGAGCATTTTGTAGAAAGAAGCCACTGTAAAAAACCCTGAGGGAGCAAGGGGCCATACCAACTTATCTCTACCTTGGATATGGATAAAGGTATTGTGGAGCAGTGAGGAGAGTAAGAGAAATTGATTAGATTCCCCCTCCGAAAGGTTCCTTCTGAAAGATGGATGCCATCCTCTTCTTCCTCCTTCCAGTCTAAACTCCTCCTCTACGGTAGCCTCTCTATTAACCGTGATAGAGAACAGGGAGGGATAGTAGTTCCTCAAAGGGGCATGACCTATCCATAGGTTAGTCCAAAACCGCACCCTACTGCCTTCTCTTGGGTAGAATCTGATGAGCTTCCTGAATAAATCAAGGGTGGCAGTAAAGGACCTCCATACACCTGAAGCATTAGACCAAGGTTTTGTCTCTGGGATCCAGGTATGTTCTAGAATATTATACTTATTCCATAATCCCTGGGCCCAAAGTGGTTCTGTTTAGGTGGCCATGCGCCACCACCATTTCCCTAAGAGGGCAAGGTTTTGTTTTCTTAAGTTTCTAATTCCTAGCCCACCCTGGTCTTTAGGTAGACGTACCTTGTCCCAAGAAATGAGATGGAACTTAGTTTTTTCAGCCTGCCCTGACCAGAGAAAGTTCCTCATGAGCTGGTCAAGGCAGTTTACCATTGAGACCGGTATTTGAAAGAGAGACATCATGTACACAGGTGCATTGGCTAGAGTAGCTTTGATAAGGGTGATTCTTCCTGCTAGTGACAAGTATCTCCC